GCGGGGATTTGTCCCCAGGCTCCCCCACATTGAGGTTTCCCCCCTTTTTTTTCCTAAAATAATCCAAATTTCTCCCCCAGCTGGGGCAGAAGCAGCAGCCCTGAGGTTGCTGCTGTTATTTTTATCTCGAAAGAAAGAGTTTGAGCCGTGGCCAAGCTGTGCTGAGGGAGGAGGGAGAGGCTTTTGTGTGGCCACAGAGATGAAAACACAGCCAGCCTCGTGGGCAGGGCAGAGGGAGCGTCCCAGCCCGTCCCAGCCCATCCCAGTCCAGCCTGGAGGGAGCTGGGAGCTGCTGGGGGATGCAGAGGTGGAAAAGGAGGTTTGGGTCCCCCCAAATCGGTGCTGTCCCCTCAGAAGAGCTACGCTCAGGTTCAATGCTCAACCAGCCCAGAATTAACTTTTTTTTGGAGTCAATTTTAATAAAAATCCTTGAAAGAATGGGCTCTAAAAGTACTTTCACCTTCCCACAGCCACATCCCACTCCTTCCTGACCACAGAAGGCCCCAAAACAGAGTTTGGGGGGCAGGTGCTGCACCCTAGGAGCCTCCTCTGCCTGGATCCAGCCACATCCCTCCCTCCCAGCTGGAATTCCCGTCCTGGAGCTGCTCCGGAGCTCACCGAGAGCTCTGCACGAGGAGCTCGGCTTAAATGTCAAATTAATTAATGGGGAGAGAGGGAGGAGTGGCCACACAAAGCTCCCGGTTCCAGCTCCGCTGCCCCCGGAGCCGGGCCAGGGTGGGAGGGGAGGGACCGCAGGAACCTGGAGGGAACAGGGAACGGCACAAAACACGGGAGAAAACTGGGAATGGCACAAAACACGGGTGGGAAACTGGGAATGACTCAAAATACGTGTGGGAAACTGGGAATGGCTCAAAACACGGGTGGAAAACTGGGAATGGCTCAAAACAAGGGGGAAAGCTGGAAATGGCACAAAACTCAGGTGGAAAGCTGGGATTGGCACAAAACTCAGGTGGAAAGCTGGGATTGGCAAAAACCATGAGTGGAAAACTGGGAATCGCACAAAATTGGGGTGGGAAAGCTGGGAATGGCACAAACCATGGGTGGGAAAGTGGGAATTGGTACAAAACAAGGGGGAGAAGCCGGGAATGGCACAGAGCACGGGGAAGGCTCGGCTCCTCCGTCCGCAGCCGGGCGGTGGCTCCGGAGCACGGCAGGAACCAGCGGGGCCGAGGTGACACCGGGCAGGGCCACGGCCCCTTCCTGAGGAGAAACCCTTCTCCAGCAGCTCCCGAGCCCCGGGAGCCTCGGGCTGGCTGGGGAGGATGAGGAGGGAAGGGAGGATGCAGGGAGCACATCCCCGCGCTTCCAGGAGAGCTCAGCCGCATTTGCAGGGGGCTTCTCCCTCCAAATCCCCGCTCCCCATCTCCCGAGCACCGAGAGCGCCGGGGCTGAGCCTCCAGGAGCAGAAGAGCGGCAAAACCCACCCAGAGCCGGGCGGGAGGCGAGGCTGGGACCGGCCCCAGCTCCGGGAGAGCCGGGAGGGACCGGGACACGGGGACAGGACCCACCGGAGCCGGGTTAAAGCTCCGAGGGCTCGGGAAGGGAGGAGTGCCCGGTCCCCAGAGCCCCGCCGGGCCCGGCAGGGTTTGGTACCCGGCTCACGTTCCCGGGACCGGCATTCCCCAGCCCCCGCTGCCGTCTCCCGGGGCTGCCGCACATCTCCCGAGGGAAAGGAGCCCTGGGGACAGCCGGGGACTTCACTGCCACTGCTCCCAGGCAGGGATAGGTGACAGTGGCCAGAGGACCCTGCAACCCTGCATTCCTTTATTTCTTGATATATTTTTTTCCTCAGTTTCTCCATGAAAGAGGAAGGAGCTGGGGTTGAACACGGCTGGACTGGGAGGACTGGGCTGTCTCTACAAACGGGGCTGGGCCGGACCCTGTGTGATTCCAGCTCACACCAGGGAGCTCCAACCCACCCCGGGGGCCGGGCTAAGCCCTGCAAACCCATGACAGCAAACCCCAGAGCACCCCCAAAGCTCAACAGAGACCATCTCCCATGGCCGCGAGACCAGGCTGGAAACCAGGGAGCTGCCGAGCCCAAAACACCAGAAAACATCACAGGAATGAGGGTGTCCTGTGACCCCTATCCCTGGTGGGACCCGGAGTTGTGGGGAGCTGAACTCCCCCAGATCCCTGGGGGCAGGAGGTGCTTCATCCCAAAACCCTGCAGGGCCTCTCTGGGGGCTGTGTCCCTCATTATCCCTCTGGACTGAGCCAAGGGAGCATCTGGGGGGTAGGCAGGGAGCAAGGAAAGCCCTTCCACAGTGAAACAACCCTGGAGTAAATCCAGAGCTCCCCCAATGTCCTGCACGGGGAGCCAGGACCTGGCTGGCCCCAGCAATGTTCTAGGAACCTGGGAAAGGTTAGGGCCAATCAATGCTCTTGGTAATTAAGGTGATGAGTTGATCCCTAAACTGGACTCCGACAGCAGCCAGGGCCACAACAAAGCAGCCTGACCTAACCTTGGAAGCCCCAGAGCCGAGAGGACACTCAGGGCTGGCTGCACCCACCCCCTGCACAGAGAGGAGCCTCTCCTGGGAATCTGGGGTGTCCCACAGAGGCTGAGCCCGTCCCTGCTCTGGGAAGGGCTGATGCAGGAGCCTGGATGTCCCTCACCCTCTCTCTGCATGGTCCATATCCATCTCCAAAGGGATGAGGCAGGAGCAGGGAGGAGCCTTGGGAAATCACAGCCAAACCCAAACCTATCCACGGCACTGTTGGGAAACCCCTCTGGCAGGGATGGAGCCCGCCAGGAGGAGCAGCCCCTGTCCCCCAGCTCTCCCACGCTGGCATGTAAAGGGTTACAGGGACTGATCCCAAGGGGATCCATCCCAGCTTCCCCAAAGCCGAGAGGGGTCACGGACTGCAGGAGATCAAAGGGAGGCATCGAGTCCCGGGGAGGTGTCAGAGGCGTGCCCTGCCCCTGTCCCCTGCTCCCCAGGGACGGGCACGGGGACCCGGCCCCGAGCTCACGGGTGCGGTGCCTGCGGGGCTGGAGTCGCTCATCCTGGCTCCTCCGAGCAGCCAGGACCGCTCCGGGCGCTGCTGCAGGGAAAGGTTCCCTGGCAGGGCCGAGGGTCCAGCGCTGGGGGAACAGGGATCCCCAAATCCATCCCCATCCCACCGTCAGGGATGTGCCGGAGCTGTGCCAAGCCACCGCTTCCCTCCCGGTAGCCCAGGGGAGGAGCTGAGTCTGTCCAAGGAGAACGAAGGACTGAGGAGGGAAGAGAGGGGGAGAGGGGAGGCCTCGATCCCATCCAGGTGGAGGCAACAGCTTCTCCAGCCCTTGGGAGCATCTCACATCCCATCACCTCCAGCCTGGCACTGAGCAACCCCACAGCCTTCCCCCGGGAAATGCCAACAGTCTTATCCAGTAACCTCCAACTCCCCAAAAGCGAAGGGGGAAGCTCATTTGGGGGGGATGAACACCCCAGAGCCGCCCCCACACCCCCAGGGGTGCTGGGGACACCGGCACAGCCACACTCACCGCTCAGCACCGCGGCTACCGGGCACGGAGGGAGCTCCCGGCAAAGCAGAGCCTTCCCCGGATCCATGGCAGAGGGAACATGGGGCTGGATAAAGTGCCCTTGGAGCCAGCGGCCAGGCAGGTTGGCCAGAGGTGTTGGAGGAATGTCTCACGTCCCCTCAGAGACGCTGAAGTTGTGTCTCTGCTCCAGAGGGGCAGAGCTGCTGCTGGGAGAGCCGGGAGAACGCCACTGGAGCAGAAATGGGGGAGCCAGCCCGGGGCACCCCCAAACCAGAGCCCCGGGAGGAGGGAGATGAGCTCCGGGTGATTCAATGCAGCAGCCAGGCCCTGGGGCTTCTTCCCCTCTCCAAGAGAGGAGGAGGAGGAGAAGCCTTCCTGCCCACCACCCTCTCCCGTTGCTCCCGAGCTGGGAGGGAAAAGCATCCTCAGGCTCCTTCCCAGAGAGCATCTCCCAAAAATCAGAGCCCGAGAACTCCAACGCCGGGCTCGGGGCAGGGAGCAGGCGGGGCAGGGAGGTTCCTGTGGAGCCCAGGATCCCTTGGATCCATGGATCCCGGCGGGGAGCAGCAGCTTTGGAAGTGCCACGAGCACCCCCGGCCCCTTGTCCTCCGGCCACACGGACAGGGAAGAGCGGGCGCTGCCTGCGCAGCCCGGGCTGCGTCTGCCGCCCCCCGCCCCATCGGGGCTGGGGATGCTCGAGGGGAGGGGGAAGGATTGGGGGGGCAAGTCCCTGCTGCCCCCGAGCTGCAGCAGGGGGGTTCCTCCCTCTCCGCCCCTCAGGGTGGTTTTTAAGGCGTGTTTCCCTACGACCTTCAAACGGCAGCTGCCCGCAGCCCCCTCCCCACGGCCGCCACCCTGCCCGGCACCGCCCGGAGGGTCGCAGGGGAGGGGACAGCCCCGGGGGTAGCGCCTGCTGGGCTCGGGGGGGCTCTGCAGGCACCGAGGGGCTGCCATGGGGCGGGGTGCCGGGAGCGGAGCCCTTCGGGAGCTGGGAGACCCCACAAGCCGGGTCCCGCTCTCCGGGGGTGCCTCTCCCCCTTCCGCTGCCGCTGCCAGACCCTGCACGGTGCCGGTCCCCGCCCGGTACCGCTGCCGGCCCCACGCCCCCCGCCCTCTGCCCATCCACGCACGGTACCGAGGCCGGTTCCGGACCGGCGCCGCTGCCCGGGGCCAGCCCGTGCACGGTGCCGGTGCCATCGCACACACCCCCGTTCCCCGCGGTACCGATCCACGCACGATGCCGGAGCCGGTCCCTTCCCCCTGCCCACGGCAGCTCATCCGCGGGGCCGGTGCCGCCCGCTGCCGGTCCCCGCTGCCCCCTCCCGGTGCCGGTCCTCGCTGACCCCCGCCCTGCACCGGTCCTCGCCGCCCCCTCCCGGTGCCGAAGCCGATCCCTCCCCTCACCCCCGCTCGGTGCCGGTCCCCGCCGCCCCCCTGGCGGTGCCGGTGTCCCCCGGCCCGTGCCCCCCGCCGGTGCCCCCGCACTCACCAGCGCGGCGCGGGCGCTGAGCAGCAGCAGTAGCAGCAGCGGGAGGCTCCGCAGCCCCCGGGGCGCCGGCGGCGGCACCTCCCCGGGCATCTTCCTGCCGCAAGGACGCTGCCGGCGGCGGCGGGAGGCGGCGGCGGGGGCGGGGAAGGGCCTTTGTTGCCGCCGCCCGCGGGATGGGGGGGACCGAGGGGGGCTGGGGTGGATGAGAGGAGTTTGGGGGGGACTTGGGACAGATGGGGGGAGGGAGGGGACCTGGACGTATGGGAGGGGTCTGGGGCACACTGGGGGACCCTGGGGTACATGGGGGCACCCTGGGGAACAGATGGAGGGGGGGTCTGGGAAAATTGGGAGGACCCTGGGGTGGATGGGGAGGAGCGTGGGGGACATGTGGGGGGCATCTAGAGCAGGTTGGGGACCCGGGGATAGATGGGGGGCGACATGGGGTGCATGAGGGAGACCATGGGGACATTTGGGAGGGGTCTGGGGCAGACTGGGGGAACTTGGGAGGGGATAAGTGGAGAGATTGAGGTAGATTAGGTGGGGCGTGGGTTAAAGGGGGGGAGCCTGATGGGAAGGGGGCACCGGAGGCAGACTGGGGGGCGATCAGGGACTGATGGGGAGGGATCTGGGGCGGGTGGAAGGGACTGGGGTGGATGGGGTGCACTGGAATGGGTAAAGGAGTGCACTGGGGCAAGCCCCGGCTGTGTGGGGGAATCTGGGGCAGATCGGGGAGATCCGGAGGGACATCGGAGGGTCTGGGGGCAGCTGGGGGCACCCAGGATTAGATGGGGGGAGCCCAAGGTGGTGTCCGGGACACCTGGGGGTACCCAGGGATGGATGGGAGGGGAAAACCTTCGGGCATTCCGGGAATCACTGCCGGGCGGACGGGGTGGGGGGGCGGTGGGCGGACGGGGCTGATCCAGCCTCAGTTTCCCCATTCAAAACCTGGGACGGCAGTGGGATCAGAGGGGCCATGACAGTGACCTCCACACACCTGCCAGATGTCCCGGGAGTGGCTCCGGGGGTTTGGTCACCCCTGGGGGTGGTGTGGCTGCGGATGAGCTGGGATTGAATGGGAATGAGCCATTTCCACACGCGTGGAATTCCTCCTTTCCTGTCAGGGGCCTAAAAATAGACACAGACTCTCCTGAACCCCCTCATTTACCTCCAAAATACAGCCCGGGAGGGGCTTGGGGAGGCAGGGGCGTTACTGGGACAAAGGAGGGAAAATCAGCCAAATTCGGCCAAAAATGGAGCTGAACCTTGGGTTGGGGGAGCAGGCACTCGGCTCCCCACAAATCCCCCCCGAGGATCCTCCCACTGCCCCGGGACTGGGAACTCAGGAACCCCCAGGGGGAGTGGGAAACATTGGAGGGGCTCTGGGGGCCCCCACCTGACAGACTCCATTGGGTTTTAATTGTCCTGTAATTAGCAGAATCCAAATCAATTATTTTAAAGTGCATTTATAGAAGGAGTGAGAAGTGGGAAGGGGGGGGGGGGCGCAAAACCCAGGGAAAGGTGGGGAGGGGTCCCCGGGACTGGGGGTGCAAAGGGGTCACGGGGACAACCCAGGAACACGGGGGGAGGTCCCAGAGTGGGGGATCCCGGACAGTGGGGTGGCCCCGGAGCAGGGGGGTCCCAGAGAGGGGGTCCGTGTGGGGACCATGGGGGGTCCGGGAGAAAGGTGGTCCGGGGACAGGAGGTGGCCTTGGGCTGGGGGAGTCCCAGGGACACCGGGGGGGCTCAGGGACAGTGGAGGAGGTGCCAGGGACACCGGGGACACCGGGGACATCGAGGACACCGAGCCGGGCATGTCACAAGCCCGGGAGGTCCCGGGATCACAGTGGGTCCCATGCAGGGGGGATCGTGGAGCAGGAGGCCACCGATGCTGCGGAGGTCCCAGGGACCGGGGTCCCGGTGCCGGGATGTCCCCACACAGAGGGTCCTGGTGCCGGATGTCCCCAGGCAGGGAGGTGTCTCCAGGCAGGGAGCTGTCCCCACACAGGGTCCCCAGGCAGGGAGGTGTACCCAGGCAGGGCTGTTGTCCCCACACAGGTCCCGAGGCAGGGAGCTGTCCCCACACAGGTCCCGAGGCAGGGAGCTGTCCCCACACAGGTCCCCAGGCAGGGAGGTGTCCTCACACAGGTCCCCAGGCAGGGCTGTTGTCCCCACACAGGTCCCCAGGCAGGGAGCTGTCCCCACACAGGTCCCCAGGCAGGGAGCTGTCCCCACACAGGTCCCCAGGCAGGGAGCTGTCCCCACACGGGCCCGCTCGCCGCCCGGGCCGGGCCCGTTGCTGGGCCTGCACCGCCCCGCCGTGGCCGCCGCCACCCCTGCAGGGCCCTGGCCAGGGCCGCAGGGTCCCCGCGGGTCCCCACCGAGGGGTGGCACCCCAGGGGTGGCCCCTGAAGGGTGGCGGGGGTTTGTGGGACCCCTCAGGAGGAGCTGGGGGCGGGCGGAGGGCGCTGCCAGCGAGGGCCTTGTTCCCCTGCGGCCGCGGTGACAGCGGCAGCTCCGGTCCCCTTGTGTCGCCTCGGTAGTGGGCAGTGTGATGGGACAGGGGGTGGCACAGGGGACCCGGCTGAGGTGACAGGTCCGGCTGAGGTGACCGGTCCCTTCACATCCCTCCTCCAGCAGCAAGCACCAGCTGTGCTCAGGAGGGAGCGAGGCAGGGCCAGCACGGAGCGCCCGTGTCCTTCCCGGGCCGTGTCCCCTCTGTCACCTGGCAGGGCCAGGGGCTCCGGGTGAGAGCTGATCGCATTCCCGAGCACCTCGGGGTGGGAACAGTGCCAGGGCTGGGCCCGGACCCGCAGGAGTCTGGGGGAGCAAACAGCCTGGGCTTGCTCCCCTTCCCCTGCAGCGTGAGTGGAACGCTCCGTGCTGAATTCAACATTGCAAACTAGATTTATCTCCCTTGTTTTCACCGTGTTTGTCCCCAAACCTGCGGCTGACTGAGCTCCACAGGCACCACCAGGTAAACGAGGCCGTGAAGAGCTCAGAGACACCCAAAGAGCTCTAATGCCCCAAAGTTCGAGTGCCCGTGCCCCTGGTGGCTTGGGGCCATGCTGAGACACGTCTGAGGGTGGCCTCAAACGCTGGGCAGAAATGGAGTCAAACCCCAAATCTGCTGAATTTAACACCAGCGGGGTGGAAAAAGATCAGCCCCAGTATGGGGTCCCAGATCAGTCCCAGTGTGGGAACAGATCAATCCCAGCGTGGGAAGAGATCAACCCCAGAACAGGATCCCAGCTCAAACCCAGTGTGGGGATCCCAGATTGATCCCAGGGTGGGAACAGATCAATGCCAGTACAGGGTCCCAGATCAATCCCAGAGTGGGGTCCCAGGCGGGCTGGCCCTGCTGAGGGGTGGGAATGGGACGTGGGAAGAGTCTGGGCTTCAAACCCACCCTTTGCACATGCTAAGCCAGAATATGTAATTTCCTGTAAAATGGGTATTTTCTTGTCTTCCATCACCTGACCACACATGACCCTGCCTCCACAAGTTCCCAGATTCATCAACATTCCCCAAATGTCCCTCTGGAAAAGGGATTTTAAATGCAGCAAAGTGCAGTTATGGATAAGGAAGGTCCCGGATGCTGCAAATGGGGGAAACTGCTGGGAAGGAGGGGCTGATTTTGGGGTTCTGTTCGCACAGGGAAAGAAATGTGGAGCTGGATCTTCCCTAAACAGCGAATTGGGGGAGTAAGGGAGACCAGGACATCATGGGGGCAGCAGGGGTGAGTGGGGGTAGAACCATCAGCTCTGTGGAGCAGCCTGAAGAAGCACCAGGGAATGAATTTCTGCCCAAGATCCCATCCAGCCCTGCCCTCTGGCAGTGGGAGCCATTCCCTGTGTCCTGTCCCTCCATCCTTGTCCCCAGTCCCTCTGCAGCTCTCCTGGAGCCCCTTCAGGCCCTGCAAGGGCTCTGAGCTCTCCCTGGAGCCTTCTCCTCTCCAGGGGAGCACCCCCAGCTCTCCCAGCCTGGCTCCAGAGGGGCTCCAGCCCTGCAGCAGCTCCCTGGATTCCTCTGGGCTCTCTCCAACAGCTCCAAATCCTTCATTCTGGGGGCTCCAGGGCTGGGGCAGCTCTGCAGGTGGGGTCTCAGAATAATCCCCCATCCCTGTGCGCCGGGGAGCCTGTTCAGTCCTCCACTTTAAAATCATCTCTAGGTGTTCTCTCCCCCCAAAAAACACCAGCTCAGCTCCCTCCTACAGCACATCACTCACAAAGAAGACAGAAATAAAGCCATTAAAAATGCCCCTTTCCCTGCTCTCCATCCCAGCCCTCCAGCACAACTCCAGCCCTTCCCCATGTTCTCTCCTGCTCCCAGATTGAAGCTCCAAACTCCAACTGAACATTCTATGAAAAGCACAGCCCCAGCTCTCCCCATGTCCTGCCCCTGGACTGACATGAAAAGCACAGCTCCAACCTTTCCCTGTGCCCTGGTCCTGCAGCAAAGCTCCAAACTCCCAACTACACGCTCCGTAAGAAGCAGAGCCCCAGCTCTTCCCTGTGTCCTGTCCCCGGACTGCAGCTCCAATTCCATGAGAAGCACAGCTCCAAACCTTCCCTGTGTCCTGCTGCCACAGTGAAGCTCCAAACTCCCCAGCATGAAAAGCACAGCTCCAACCCTTCCCTGTGTCCTGCTCCCACAGTGAAGCTCCAAACTCCCCAACATAGCATTCCATGAGAAGCACAGCCCCAGCTCTGCCCATGTCCTGCCCCTGGACTGAGGCTCCAATTCCATGAAAAATACAGGCCCAGCTCTTCCCTGTGTCCTGCTCCTGCCCTTGGGATGAAGCTCCAAACTCCAAATAAACATTCCATGAAAAGCAGAGCTCCAGCTCTTCCCTGTGTCCTGGATTGAGGCTCCAATTCCATGAACAGCACAGCTCCAACCCTTCCCTGTGCCCTGGTCCCACAGTGAAGCTCCAAATTCCATTTTAACCTTCCATGAACAGCACAGCTCCAACCCTTCCCTGTGTCCTGCTCCTGCCCTTGGAGTGAAGCTCCAATTCCATGAAGGCAGAGCTCCAGCTCTTCCTTGTGTCCTGCCCCTGGATTGAGGCTCCAAACTCCAACAAACGATTCCATGAAACCCCGAGCCAGATTCCAAAGTTCTGTATTTTTCAAAATAAAGATCACAC